CTTCTGAAATACTATGTGAATTCATTTTTAAACAATACCATCAAAATAACATCATTGTGTGTAAATAAACACAAAATCTGGACTGCAATGCTGGAGCCAAATGACTTAGGTTTATTTTGGTTTTTAATTAAAGATGATAAAGGTAAACAATGACGCTAGATTAAAAATATTGAAGTTCAAAGAAAATTGATTTTTTTTAATGTCAAATGAGGGAAGTTTGATTGGTATAATTAACTTATCAGAGAGCGAAGAGGAGAGGGAGGGGAGTTTGTGGTTGGGCTTGGAGTGTTGGATCACACTTCAAAACGGTGCTTGGGAGAGAGATGTAGAAGGTTTTTAGTTTGACCTAGCCTAAACGTCACTCCTTCAACCACTGAAAAATCCAATTTCTGCTGTTTCTCGAAGTTATGTGCTTCTAAATGATGAATAAAAGTTGTGACGGTAATACCCATGGAAATCGTCTTCATGAAATGTTCAAGATGTATTCGAATATGCATCTGGTGCTTGTAAAGTAGTCTTAGGTAGATAGTCTCATATTTCAGACTGCTTGACAGAGGGTAGGAACATTTAAGCCACAGAAAGTCGAGAGAAGGAACAGAAGAGTGATTCACAGTTGTAAAAGAGACAGACAGACAGACACAAAGGTAGTGAAAAGGTAAGGCAAGTGCTGTGAAAGTGGTCGAATATGACATGCAATGGGGTCATTGTAGGTTGAAGTCAGAAGTCAACTGCCGGTTCATATACCTTTTTAACGTATGGGTATACGTTGTCGAGGGTGCAACACGTGGAGGTAAGTCTATTGCGCACCCCAAAATAAATAAATAGAGTTGGATATGTAGTTCAGGTGAAGATTACTAGCCGCTGGATTGGGTCAAATGAGTTTCCCAATATTCACTATTGGTATCTAAAGTCGACTCTTCAATGTTCTCTTGAAACGGTGCAAATAGACTAATATGAAGTAAAACAGCGCATTTCAGCTGAAGTGGTTGGTGGCACGCTGAATTTAGTTGTCATTGGAAAAGTGAATACACTACCACCCCCCCCCCCCCCCGCCCAACAGTTTACGCCTCAATAGAAAAGTGATGTGCAACGTGTAAATACTCCTTTTTCACTCCAGAACCTGACGCTCTAGATCCTTTACGAAGATTGGGGAATTACTGTTTCTATGTTGACAGTACCTGATTGACATGTATGCGGTTATACCCGATTAATGTCCTCCAATTTCTTGGGCCTTCTTCCATTGTGTGTCTTAGCAACACGTCAGTCAATGCGATTTAGATTTCCACCTCTCCTAAGGCATAGTTAAACATTGAATCAGAAAAGAAATATGAATTGAAGAAATATTACCCAGCAAATTTAATATATCATTGCAAATTTAACGCGTAATATTTTGTGGCAGATAATAGAGGGGTGTATTTATTGGTTCATGTTTCTCACGGAAGGAACGCGCTTTATTGGGCAAAAAATACCCTGTCGTAGGAAAAGGGATTTAGTTTGGACAATTTGGCCTTGCAAGTTTTAAGACGAAACACATTTCCAAGGAAGGCGGAAGTTGCTTTGAAAATAATTTGGATGTGGTCAATGTGCCTAGTAATTATTTCCTAATTCTATTGAGAACTAATTAAATATTTGCATTAACACGCATTCCATATCCGAATTTTCATTAAAACGGAGGCGTTTTTACACATGACACATTAATTATATTTTGACTTGGGAAAGCTACCACTCATTCATTCATTCTTCCATAGTCTGACGTATTTGAACTATGTCGGTAAACGCAAGATTGTGAAAATATCCCCCCCTCTCTACACACTCACTAAAGGTAACCCAGGTATTGTTTCAGCCAGCCACTATTGTTGGTTTAATTACATTTAGTCGGTTTTTTGGCATACATAACTATGACGACAACTTCCTTCAGAGGTATGCTCATCTCACGCTATTGTTAAGCGTGAAATTCCGGAGGATAAGACAATCCATTATGCTGACCTTCTTAACAAAGAAAATTTCTTAATTCAAAATCATCTGGAGGTTAACATTGATGCCCGCAATGGTCCCTTCTCTCGGATCACCATGAAACCAATGGGGAATCTTGAGAAAATTGAGAAGATAATTTAGTCAGCCATCCGGAAGGTGTTATTAACTTGGTTGATCTCTTCACTCATCATATTTTTCAACAGAAAAACGGGCATCATCTCAGCACTGTCACTTTGAGCATTTCTACTAACGAGATTGAGTATACTGTTGAGGCTGCCTACAGCACAACCTGGCAGTACCTGCTTATTCGCTAGATTTCCTCTATTTTGGTGAAATGCTGGCAGATTTTGGTTACCAATGTAAGGCAATCAAACCTCGCCAATAAAATAACTCAAACATTTTCCCTGGTGTCGGTCCTGCCGTCACTACCTGAAAAGTCTGTCCTATGTCCGAAGAATGCTCTACTGTTATTTTTGGCTGAGCAAGTGAGTGAGAGCGATTTGATCCTGGATCATGTATTTCCGCCACTCAAGAAAACTCCTACAATGCTCACAAGTTGTCTAAGAGTGAGCCCACTTCCTCTCCTAGGTAAAAAGAACCTTTAAGCTATGTGACAAGAATAGCTGCGAAATGATCCATTTATAATAAACCAGCCATTATTAACAACTTGCTCAAACAATGAATTGTATCTTCAAGAGGATAAGGAAGGAAAATAATCCACAAATGATTGATTGGCTGCCGTTAGCGAAAAGCCTACTGAAAAGCATTTGAAAAAACGAGATAATGTTTGCTTATGATTGAATGTTAGTGCAAGCTTCAGAGATGTCCTTAGCTTCATTAACAGGCAGATTAAAATGAATGAGCGGAACAACGGAATGATCGAAATGTTTAAGGAGTTGTGCCATCTGTTTCTTCGTCTTTCGGCCTCATTTCAGTTCTCTTTTAACACGACTTGTCCTGCTATTTTTTTAACTTTTGCAATGAATCGAGTAAATGACAAATAAGAACATTTTTAATTATGTTTATTTTAACTATTTGCACCATAGAAGAGTGGAAACTTATATATAGCCATTGGTTTGAAAATTGAGGTTTATGATGTGAGGCGGAAAACATAAAATATCTGGAAAAATGAATTTTATGCGGTTTTATGAGATACCGGATGATACAGCACCTACACTTTCGTAAACGTCCAGCCTTGCACCAATCAATGTCCTTCGACACTCTTATTGGTCGGCACATTTGTCTATAAAACACTCTCGCTTTCACATTTCAAGTAATTTTTTCCTGTGAAACCGTAATTCAAGCATAGGCTCATAACGATGGGCGTGGTAACACCAGGAATCAGCGACCATCTACGGTCTAGCTGGTTCCCTCTTCTAATTCTAACTCTTCTTCTTATTCCAAAATGTTCTTCTCTTCCGCATTTCTACCAAGTTAACATGCGTCTGAACAGTAACGATCCCCTCCTCGAACTGCGATGTCCCCTCTATCAAGCAGTATCTGGCGATGTTCTTATCTTCTCCAACATGCAAGACCAAGAACTCTTACGGGTTGTGCTACAAGAGAATTCTCCACCTCCCGTTCTTGCTTTACCTATCGACAGCCTCAGCAAAGATGCTAGAGCGTTCGCCTATGTTTGCAGAGTGTTTGAACCCAAAACCAATAGCCTCGTTTCCAAAACTACCTTTGCAGTTCAAAAACAAGTCAAATCCAACACTAAAGGTGGTTATTAATTTCCTTTTCTTTAGAGCAACCTCAAGCGCCCTTTTAATATATTTATATTTTACTCTTTCAGTACCTGTCTATGAGACTTTCCATTATGAACCCGAAGAAGTGAAGACCATAAAGGCTACGATTGATAAACCTTTGAAGGTGGAATGTCCGGTTAAAGGTGGAAATCATGTCTGGTTCAGAGCCGGTGGTGAAATGATTCTTAGTCCTGAAAACAAAGAGCGTATGACCGTACTAAACATCATCTCGGTGCAGTCGAGTGATCTAGGAACTTACTACTGTGCTTCACTGAAGTCTAGTATTGAAGATGAAGAGAAAGAAGACACTTCTGTCGGTCTCCTTCTCCCTGTTCAGAAGTTCGTTGTAATGGCCCAAGAAAGTAAGCTCATTATTATATTTTCTTAAATGCATTTTTAAAAGGAATATACTTAAGAAATTATGGATTTCTGATAGAAATTTCGGATCTCTTAGGTGGTTAGATCTAGAAAAAAGCCGTGAATGGATAAATAGTACCACTTTCTACCTTAATATTTATGGGTCATATTAGCTCTTTAAGATACAGTCGTCAACCTAGAGCATTAACTCTTTAACGCTCGAATTATCTTTTTGAATAATGCACCAAACCGCACTCATGCATGTCTCCCAGCAGACTGTTGTTGACGTGATGAGTTTTGGTGGTGTATAAGGCAAAGGGTATAGACGTATTGAACATACTCCAAACGGCAATAGCGCCTTTTGTTGCGAGTCTGGTATCAATGGAGTTTATTTTGAAAAAGGGGCCATGCGATTCAATGGGCGGTTAAGGGTTAAAATCCCTAGCAACTGCTTCAAGAACTCCTATTTCGTCACAGTCTAGTAAGGGTTGCACTATGATCACACTGGTACGAAGGTTCTTCAAACAAATTATGTAGATAATTTTGGTAATAATTTTTTAAGGTACTTCACGTTTTATTTGCATTAATGAGGATAACGCTTATTTATTGAAAATTCAAAATTTTCCTTTTACTTACTTCATTTTGTTTGCCATTTAATCAGACTCTGTTTTAACCCGCTCGGCGGACGTAACCACAAATCCAAACCATAGTGCTGTGCAGAGTTGTGGCGACGTCGTGAAGGAACTGACTCCATCTGATATGATCACCTGGGAGCGACCACTTGGAACAGTGCATCTAGTGCATTCTGGAAGACGTCAGTTGAATCTCAAGTCTGTAACCACTGCTGCTACACATCCATACCACTGTTCACTTGAAGGTCACACCATTCAGCGTATTTTAACACCAAGCCTCGCTCCATTAGTCCGATCTCGACGAAGCTTAATGAGTAAGTGATAAGTAAAACAAAAAAACAAAAAATTGTTCACAATTTAAAAATCAAAATCAAAAGTGTTAACTAATGAAACACTTGAAACTTGAATATCAGCCAATTTTTATCGTAAAATGAAGATTATTTCAATGTATAACATTAATTAATTAATCATTTGTGCAAACCGATTTATTTTCACTTTGTGTCAATCATTTCAAACTTTGAGGAAAAAGCCCCGGTAAAATGACGACCAATTTGACGTCCGTCTTGGATAAACATCTCACATTTTGTTGATGAAATACCTTACGAAAGAGTGCTTGACTAAAAATTCCTGGTCTGATGGCTTGTCTTCTCCAACACGTTTACTTTTTGCACCTACGTGATCGTTCTCTAGAGTTACGTTTACACCAAACTATGATGGGCGTTGATTCTAACCCCACTTTTTGTTTCGGAAAATAAACCAACCCTAACTGCTGGCTAAGTCTATTTTTACCATAAGCCGGTCTGTCTGCGAGATACAGTCAGTTAAACCATCAGTCGAATTTATAATTCCAATCGATTAATGCTTCGGGAGTCACGAATAAAAAATTTGTTGGTCTGTTTGTGGGAAAGTTCTAGTAACTAAGCGCGTCATTGGTGCGTCAGCGTAGATTTCGTAGGCGGTCCACTCATTCGTGAATGGAATTTTGCAAGTGTAGAAAACAACTCTAGCCATTGAACAAAGAAAATTCTAGAGATGGTCTAGAGGACGATTTATGACGCCAATGGCATTAGTTACTGTTCATTTGGATGTACTTTGGCCGTAACTGGGATAAGTTGGAATATTTATAACTCACAGAAGGCTTCATTATTTAGGTGGTGCAACTGCTCAAATATTATTATGATTATAATTTCAAATGGCAGGCGTTTTGAATATTTATCATTAGCCATTTAACTGACTTCGGGCTTCGCAGAGGGAGAAAAATCAAAGTGAGAAAAATTCGGGAGAGGGAAGAGAAGGGTGATTCACAGATGTAAAAGAGGCAGGCAGACACAAAGGTAGAAAAAAGGTTAGGTGAGTACTGTGATAGTAGTCGAATATGACATACAGTGGGGTCATGATAGTTTGAACTCAGAAGTCAGCTGCCGGTTAATATATATATATATATATATATATATATATATATATATATA